AATAACAGACTGCATATTTACTATAAATTGGACATATTTAAGTAAGTGTCTATTAACATTAACAAAGTTATATTGAGGCATTCTTATTGATAATTCATACTTATTATTGTTAGCTGTCAAGCTTAATAAGCTGCAGACAGGAAGATATAATTCCTTTATATAATACAATAAAGCAGACAGAAGAATTAGGTTATGGAAAGACAGAGAGATAGTGAGCATCTAACCAAATAGGATTCAGTTGAAATTTTTCTTTTTTTATCCATTTAATTCCATGGACCATGTTCATGGCAGTTTTGTATCAGGAGAGGATCTTGAGTGGTTTAAGGAGGGATCTGTAGAAGAATTGAATTCTCAGAAAGGATATGACAGGGAAGAAAAAGAGAATCTAACCTTATGATGATGTATGTGGGTACATTTTTTAGGCACAAGATATATCTGGAAAGGAAATGAACAGTTCAACAAATAGAAAAATCATAGAATTTTGAGGATTGATGATCACCTAAGGATTTTATCCAACACTTTTGATTTAGAGGTGAAGGGTTTGAGTCCCAGAGCAGTTAACAACTTGATTTTGGTCACAGAGCTAGTTATCAACAGAGAAACTATGAGAATGTAGAACTTCTGCACATGTCAGTGCTTTTCCACATTATGTTCCAGGACATAATTCATACAAGTTAATTGTGTATTTAATATTAATTTTAATGCAATAACCCACTCACATTATGATTTTAATTCAGCATTTTTAAAATCTGTTTTTAGGACATTCGAGGACAAGAGACAGGCAGGAAGGGTGTTTCAGTGGAAATAGCATGGGTTTAGTAGTCAGGATTGGAATTCTGACTTTAATATTTATCAGCTCCATGACATTGGAAGATATTTTAAATCTCTGTGCCAGAATTTCCATAACTTTATAATTGGAAAAATATGTCCTATTATGTTGGGATTAAGAATCCCAATTTAAATAAAGCGTATAGAGACCTGGGATTGTTGAGTATGCAGACAAAAATGCTGAGAGTTGTAGGAGACTGTGGTGCTGATATTAGTATTCAAACTGTTGACTAATAGGTTCTCTTCTTAGAGGAGGATGGATTTCTGTGGTGCATGGTTGAATGTAAAGCCACTTAAGGAGAGAGTAGTGTCTGAAAGAGGCACTGACATACGCTGATCACTTGCCTCTTTCTCGCTGTCATGGATTTGATGCATCAAAAAGTCAGTTATTACACCCTTAAGTATCTTTCTGGGTCAAATTCTACTAAGTGTAGCATTGACTTTGTTGCTTTTCTTTCTTTTTTTTCCCCCTTTCCCACAGCCCTCTCCTCCTCTATCCTTTTTTGAGCAGCAAGTATCCTACCCCTTCGGGATGGTTTTATGATGAAATATAACTATAGGACAATGGATTACGTTGTCTTCTGTGTGTCCCTTTATATATGAACAAAGCAGATGGTCTTCTCACTTTGATATTATCCTTAATAGTTTTACTTACAAAATTGTGCAACAATATGAAGTACAGTATCTCTTATTTGCTGCCAGTCTTTCTCGGAGAAAGCACATTTGCCCTCTTGTAAAAGAGGGGATATGTTAAGTGTGAGAGAGTAGACAGATTCACAGACACAAACATAGGGTGAAACTAGCAGGTGAGCAGTGTGCAGTGTGTGTGTGTGTGTGTGTGTGTGTGTGTGATTTTCTAGGTTAGGGATCCGGAAAAACTTGTCCTAGTTAAGGATTCACCAGCTATGTTTCTTTAGAAAACTTGCTCTAATATTACATGTACAATTCCTGTGAATTGCCAGATTTATGTAAAGATTGATAGGGAGAAATTCTTCAGTCTTCTATCAGGATAGAGCTCTGCTCCAGGGAATGCTTATGCAAATCTTGCGGATTTTCTTACTGGAGTATTAGATGGATGAAAAGAAACTAGTAAAGAGTTTGGACCTGGGAAATGCAAAGACTTTTGGGAAGGAGGACTGATTGTAGTTTTTATTTGAATTTGACACAGGTGACTTTTCTTCAACAACTTCTCTGAGAAGGATGAAAATCAGGTTAAACGAGGCTATATAAGTGAAAGAGTTTATAAATAGGATTGATTTATGTGAAGGGAAGGCATACACAAACAATAATTACTTTATGTTTAAATGTAAAATAGTCACCATCTTGACTAAAGTGAAGAATCTGTTTTTTTAGGAAGCCTTTCCCAATGCTTGATCAATCTGAGTTGTCAGGTGCCTATGCCAACTTCACAAATAAACCAAGTATATTTCTGCATTTTTCTTTTCCAGTTGGAGAGTGGGCTTTAAATAGTTTATTAAAACACAATATATCCAGCAGGGCTGGATTTGTGGGTATGAGTTTGCGCAACCTTCTTTTCCTAAAATCAGAGCACAAACTATTCATTCTCAGCAGACTACTCTACCTACAGTATTCAGATTGCTTTTGCTAGCTGTAAGGCTTCTTCTTTTTTTAATGGAGAGTAGCTATGCTTCATTTTAAAAATGTCAATTCTAGTATAAACACAGCACTCTTCATATTGAGAGCTTTTGAACCCTGCTCCTGAACAGAAATACAAAGGAAACCCTTGAAAGCAAAGCAGATGTTGTACTGGCATAACTAGGCCTTGATTTGTTTATAGTTTAAAAATCCATGGGAAAATAATGATCAAAGGCAGGGTGTAATTCATACAGAAAATTGTAAGACCACTTCATCTGACGAGATTCTGTAAAGAGTCTTTGATTCAAATGGTTCACACAAAGAAAAAATGTCCCATAGGTTCAGAGTTCTTTCTGGCAATAAACTTCCAGTGTAAACAGGAAGGCTCTTGAGCCTCTTACAAATTTTAGAAACAAATGATACTCATTGCCTTGCACTCAATAATTTTGACTTTGAGACAAGAGTTGGAATGGTTAGTAAAAAGTTCCAATTCTAAGTTCAATATGAAGTTTATTTGCCATTACCATAATATTTATTTGTGTGTGCAGCAGTTTATTGAAAGAATGTGAAGGACACATGCTATTTAGTCTATTTAATACTAACTAAAATTCTGTAATTCTCAAGAACTTGACTGTTATATAATCAGTACCAAAGAAGAGAACTAGGAACTCCAATCCTTTATGCTGATTGATACTGCGCAGCAGAAATATTAAACTACCCCAAAGTTAGAATAATGTAATTTTCATTGTAATTTAGAAAAAGGGGCTAGTGAAACTTTTTAGCAAAATTGATGATTTTTTATGATTAAAAGTGTAATTTGAGTCTAATTTTCAATGGACACAAATGCATATAGAATTAATTGAAGTAATGGGGAAATCAATAGTAGATGCACCATACAGTTTAAATAATAATTGTAACAATTGTTATTTTAAAAGAAACTTCCTCAGCAGGATGAGAAAGAATATATATGTGAATATATATGTGAGTATATATATTCTTTCTTATAGGTATATGTATATACATATATACACATACACATATATATATATAATTTGAAGGGGGAGTGTCTGAGTGACAGTACACACCTTTCTATCTTTAAAGCCTATTTAAGATCTGGGAAAAAGGTATGCCTCTGAACCAGTTTGAGTGGATTTTTCCAAATGAAACCTCAAATAGCATTTACATTTAAGCCCTCACAAACACTTGGGAAGATTTGGAGTTAAAAGCAAATTGTGGTGGGGGTTCAGCACAGGTTTTGTGGTTTTGTTTTGTTTTGCTTTTTAAATAAACACAGTCCACACAAACCCGTCTGCCTTCACCTGGAAGGACCAGTTCTTTAACAAAAAAACGCTTTGACTTCGGTTTCCCTGGGAAACCGAAGCCAGAGCTCCTGAACTTTTCTCTCCGCGGATTCGGGGGAGCTAGGGAGGGTGCTCATCCACTTTATTGCAGGGAGAAGTACAGCCTGGGACCCCTCTTTTGGGATACTGTCATTTGCCCCTTCTACCATCCCTTACTCTATTCTCAGAACCAGTATGAGAGTTTTCTGGGGCTAAGGCAAGGGGCAGTGGGGTCAGGCGCTGGAAGGACTGGTTTGCAAAGAGATAAGCTTTGGAATGAAACCGCACAGCTGAAAACTCGCGGCAAGAGATGATCGCGCTGTGGCGAGTCAGTTTGAGAAGCCTTCATCCCTACTCCTCTTAGCTTTCTGAGCGGCATTTGCAGTCAGGTGCAAACAGATCGCCTATTTGGCGCAAAGAGCCCTGAGGATGACGGACGTGGGATCATTCCCCGGTTTCCCCCCGGCCAGATACTAGGTAGTTTGAGGAGAAACTGTTTTCCAGTTCTCAAGGCCTGCAAACGCGGCTGTAGGTGGCATGCGGAGCTGTCCAGCACTAGTGAGGTGCCGGCGGAGCCGGGAGCCCCGCGCACCCCGCCGGGCTGAGACTCAGCAACAGGGCTCTCTTGCCAGAGCAGACGCTGTTCTCACTGCCGCCCCGTTCTGGGCTCGCTCCGCGCCCACACGGCCTCGCTCGAGGCGGGGAACGCAAGTCCCCAGGAGCTGCTCCAGCAGGATGGGCGCCAACATGTTGCCCCTGTCCTTCTCTTCTGGAATAGGCTGGCTGGACGCTTAGCATTTTCGTTTTGCTTCGAAACTTCCTAAATAAACTCGGAGAAAGGACAACATGGACCCTAACCCCCACTTCACACTGTCAAGCTTCCCCAAGGTGGCTCCAGGGGGAGGCCTCTCGCCCCCCAGTCCCGAGTCCTCCCCACCAGCGCCTCCGGGGCCCATCTGCTCCCGAGGGCCGAGAATAAGGCGTTTGGGGTTGGGGCCCCTCAGTCCGATCCGAGCTCTTGTGCGCACCTTCTCGGGGCAGGGAGGGCGCGCAGAGGACAGCAACGAAGTGTCCTCGTTGCTCCTGAAACGTGGCGACAGGCGAGGCAGAGACTCCCAATGAGTATGAGGGCGACACGTGATACCCGCGGAGGGAGAGCATGGGCGGGGGGATAAAGGGAGAAGGAGGGAGGCGGGCAGCAAGTGGAGAGAGGCGGGAGGAGAGGGGCGGGAGCAGAGAGGGAAAGGGGGCGAGATAGGCGCGCAGGCGGCAGAAGCCTTTGGTTCCCCTTCTGCTTGGGCCGTAGCCCTCCCCGCCCCGCCGACCGCGGTCACACACTCGGAGCCTCCCCGTGAGCGGGAGCGCGGCGCACGGCGATGCGCCGAGGCTGGCGCTGAGGCGGCGCCGCGCGAGCAGCAGCAGAGGCGGCGGCGGCCCCCAGCCCAGCCCGGCGCCGCCGCCGAGCCCGGGCCCCAAGGTGTGGCGGCGCCCGAAGTTCCCGCCATGAGCAGCCGGCTTGGGGGTCTCCGCGGCCCCGGGGACTCCCGCCCCGCCGAGCGCGACCGCAGCGCCCCGCGGCCCCGACGCGCTTAACGCTGCGGCTCGCCGGTCCCACCACCGCCGCCTCCGCCGCCGCTCGCATCCTCGCCGCCACCGCCTCGGCCGCTGCAGCGCCGCCGGCAGCATGTCTCGAAGGAAGATTTCGTCCGAGTCCTTCAGCTCCCTGGGCTCCGACTACCTGGAGACCAGCCCGGAGGAGGAGGGGGAGTGCCCCCTGTCTAGGCTCTGCTGGAATGGCAGCCGGAGCCCGCCCGGGCCGCCGGAGCCCAGCGCGGCCGCCGCTGCGGCTGCCGCCGCCGCCGCCGCCCCAGCCCCGGCTGCTTCTGCCGCCGCCGCCGCCGTCACGGCCGGGGCCAGGAGGGTGCAGCGCCGGAGGCGGGTCAACCTGGACTCGCTGGGCGAGAGCATCAGCCGCCTGACGGCACCCTCGGTGAGCGGGGGGCGGAAGGGGAGACCGCCTTCGGGGGAGAGGACGCGGATCGGTAAAGTTGGCGCTGGGCGAGCCGGGGCGCGAGCTCAGAGCCCGACCGCTGGGGGGCGGCCCGGCCTCACCCTGCCCGGCCTAGGGTTCCAGTGGCTCCGGGCGACAGAGGATGCCCTAGGCTAGGGCGGAAGAGGGGACTAGAGCACCGGGAAGGAGTAAGATTCCACTCCTTTGGGGTCTTCTGATTCGGGGGCCAGTCTGCCCACCTCCAGCCTTGAACCCTACTTCACCACTGTTCCCCCTGGACAGCCCCAGTGCTGCTTCACACCCACCTGTTTTCTTTCCCCTAAACTTTCCCAGGCACTGTGTTCTGCAGTTCGGCTTCCCTGTCTTTCATCCTGTTCTCTAGCATCCCAAAGGAGCCCCAATCCCTTCCAGGAAACCCTTCCTCTCCTTATTTCCCACACTCTCTTGGTATTTGCGTGACCTTCTCTGACATCGTTGAATTCCACAGGCTATCTGCAGTCTATGTTGCATCCTTTTTCTCAGATCTTCAGATACTTTTTGCCAGATACTTTTTTCTGAGTTGCCTTCTGTTGAAGAAATCTCTAATCTCGAGTTTTCCTCACCCCGTAGCTTTTTTTTTTTTTTTTCCCCTTATCCACTAGGCATTTATTCTTCTCCGGGTAAACCTGGTGTCTGGTTTTCTTTTTTAAAAAATTTAATTTAATTTTAAGTCCCGGGATACATTTGCAGGATGTGCAGATTTGTTACATAGGTGCCAAACGTGTGCCATGGTGGTTTGCCGCACCTACCAACTCATCACCTAGGTATTTGAGCTCCGCATGCATTAGCTATTTAAAGCGCTCTGTACTTCTTGCACCTGTACCTCATCCTTTACTCTCTTTTCAATGAATTCTCTAGTGCTTTCTCTCTTACATTAGCTATTTAAACCGCTCTGTACTTCTTGCACCTGTACCTCATTCTTTACTCTCTTCAATGGATTCTCTCGTGCTTTCTCTCTCATTTTTTGATGGCTTCTTTATATTAGGCCCTTCCTAAATATTTGTGAAATGAATAAATGCCTCTCCAAACTTGTGCTCATCTTGGGATGTCTGTATCAGCAGTTTCAGGTGTTCACCAAACTCCCCCTGGTTGTAGGCATCCTTCCAGAGTACTCCTGTCTCATTCCTGCCCAGGCATTTCAACTACCCTTGGCTTTTACCTCTTGCAGGAATGCCAGACCTCTGGTACAGTCTTACCCTGTCTGGGAGAGCTCTGTTTTGAAGGAATCCACTCTATTGCGACAGAATTTGAAAAAGATTCAGCGTCAAACCTCCATCCATCTTTTATCCTCACCCTGACCTTGCATACAAGAGCTTTAACTACTCCTGACAGCACTTTTACCTACCCACCCCTAGGATTTTTACTTTTTTTAAAGTTTCCAAAATGAATCTGAACATTGATCTTGTTTGATTACTGTTGAGTCTCTCTCTTTTGAGATTACTACTGCACATGATGGTAGGAGGGACCTAAGAAGGAGTGGGACTCTGAGGGGACTGAGTACTGGTACTAGGCAGTTCTACAAATATTGTTGTGGCACTTCCATTAATGGAGAATGATTTTTTTCTTTTACAAGACCTGATTGAAGATGTATAAGTCACTTATTATTTATTTTGAACTAATTTAATTCTTAAGAACACGTATTGAGAAACCATCATCTTCCTATTCTTGTGTATTTTCCTATTTGATATATCTTTCTGCCACTTTCTTTCATCGATAACCTAGAAAACAATCCTCAGAATAGATTGGCTGTTGTTTGCTGTTCTTCCCTGCCAATATTTCCCAGGCAGCGTAATTTTATGAACTATTTGATGTTGCAAATTGTTGAAAATATGTCTTTACAACGGGAGTCCAATGACCCCGAGCATCTGTAGGCTTATGTTAGTACTTAAAGCAACATTTGTGCAATAAAATAGTTATTTAGTACAACAGATTCTTATTTAATTAAATGAGTTTGCTAAAGATAATGATTAGTTTGGGGAGAATTGTTGATGTAACCTTAAAGGGTTTTTTTTTTTTTTTTTAATTTTTTGGCCTAAGAGTGAGAATTTACAAATTTCTAAAAAGTAATGTCAATGCCTCTGATAATGCTAATTTAACAGTAAGGACCATTTTAACGATTATATGAGAAGTAGATAAAAGAAACTGAGAACTGCAGTATTTTCTGCCAGAATAAGAGGAAGGAAATAATCTCTGATGGTTACTTTTATAAGTTAAATTTGAATGACTGGCTTTTTACTGGTGAAAAGAATGTATCCAGAGAATGGTTTTCAGCATGAGCAATTTGAAAATAATTGGTGAGGATCAAATAATGAACAGCTACATATACTTTCCATGCCACAGTTCTTTTCTATTATGAAAAGGGTCTGTCAGGTGCATGCTGAGACATACAGGTGAATATAGTGTAAACATTTTCAAAATCATAACACACGTATAGAAAAATTCCCTTGGTTAACCATATCACCAATAGACTTGGTGACACAAATAAAAGAGAGGATTATTAAAGCAGTGACTTATTTCTGTGTAGTCCTTACCTTTTTTTCTTTTATTTGGCAAGTTGAACACTAGCTCAAAAAGTTCCAGTATATTCATTTTTTGACATTGTCAGGATTTGAAACTTCTTTGAATACTCCTCAGGAGATGGATTGTGTCTCTCTATTCTCTCATGAAAGCTGGGCATCTTTTTTTTTTTTTTTTTTTTTTTTTTTTGTGAATCGCTGAGAGTAGCCATTACCAGAGCATTTTTTAGATGGGGAATTTCTAGTTTGTTTTGAATGTTGTAAGCTTTCTTGCATGCCATTACGATATACTTCAGGAGAAACATGTACTTGCCATGGAAGTGCCTATTTTGTCAGTTGTCTCATCATGGAATGTCCTTAGTCACTTGGAGATTTCTTCTTTATTGAGGAATGATTTGCAATAGAAAAAATAAAATTTATTTATTAAACTAGTTATTTGACCCATGGGATATCCAAACTCAGGTTTTTTTGACACTTAATAGTCACTTTAAGATGCATTGATGTTGAGTATAAGGCTATAATAATTTCTAATAACTATTTAATAAAAGCAAGTTGCATTGGTGAAATTGGAAAAAATTCCAGAATTCGGAGACCTGATTCTGATTTGCCTTGACAATGTGAAAACTTACATATCTCTGGACACATTACTTTAAATGTCTGGGATTTCCCAGGCTTTGGGACAAACTGTCATGTTGGCATATGAAAGGGAAACATGGGCCAGGTGCAGTGGCTTATGCGTGTAATCCCAGCACTTTGGGAGGTTGAGGCGGGCAGATCCACTAGGTCAAGAGATTGAGGACCATCCTGGCCAACATGGTGAAACCCCGTCTCTACTAAAAATACAAAAATTAGCTGGGCATGGGTGGCGCGCACCTATAGTGCAGCTATTCAGGAAGGCTGAGGCCAGGACATTGCTTGACCGTGAGGACCAGAGGTTGCAGTGAGCCAAGATTGGCACCACTGCATTCCAGCTGGTGGACAGAGTGGAGAATCCATCTCAAAAAAAAAAAAAAAAAAAAAAAGAAAATATGGCATATAAGTTTTAAAACTTTTGAGGAAAGTAGTTTATTTTTTAAGAAGGGGCACTAAAATACTATTTAATCCACCCAATTATTTAAAAATATTTTAGGATCTATGTGGCAGATATTGTGCAGAGCATTTGGAAAGACAAATGCTGAACAAGACATAACTAGTCTTTGACTTCATGGAACTTCTTTAATCATTATCTTTATTTTAATGAAACTATATAAAGGGAAACATAAGAACTTCAATTGGCGAAATCTAGGGGAAGTTTTATTTCTCATCCACTTTGGATAGTTTTGTTCATTGTGAATCTCTAGGGTGCAGCCATAATAATAAAAATAACCCTCCAATTAACAGGGCATGATGATGCACGCCTGTAATCTCAGCTGCTTGGGAGGCTGAGGCTCGAGAATCGCTTGAACCCAGGAGGTGGAAGTTGCAGTGAGCTGAGCTCACACCACTGCACTCTAGACCTTGGGTGACAGCGAGACTCTGTCTCCAAAACAAAACAAACAAAAAGCAAACAAAAAACGCTTAAGACCTTAAGACCTGATTAAAGATGTATAAATCATTTATTACATTCTTTATTTTAAAATAATTTAATACTTGGGAATATATATTAAGCAACAGCTGGGGATTTCACATCAAGGGTGAACTTGGCAACTCATTTATTTGGATTTTATTCTTAAATGAGAGTTGCTTAGTTACCCTATCACTGTGACATCAATTTTGGGTTTGCTGGTGTCAGCCTGTCAGTGAAGATACGCCACTAGAGTTATATAAGGGCAAAGCTTCTCTAGGTTTCTTGACAGAGAACATTGCAAGTGGCTTTGAAGACCTCAGAAGCTTTAGAGAACAGAATGTCAGGGAAAAAAAGTAACAGAATTGGAGGAGTGGCAAATAAGGAGAGGAGAGCTACTGACCTGTGGAGTTGTTTAAGAAACAGAGACCAGTGAAGAGGAAAAAATGGAGGGGGAAGCTTAGATTCAAGTGACAAGACAGCATAAATTATTTTGAGGAAGGAAATTATCTTAATACATGTCGAGGAAAGAATGAAAAGATATAAAATACATATTTAGCTTCTGTTGATATTAAATAAAATGAGCTCTCTGACATGTATAAACCCCGAAAAAAAAAACCTTAGAAAGTATGAGTGGCCAGGCGCGATGGCTCAGGCCTGTAATCCCAGCACTTTGGGAGGCCGAGACGGGCGTATCACGAGGTCAGGAGATCGAGACCATCCTGGCTAACCCGGTGAAACCCCGACTCTACTAAAAAATACAAAAAAACTAGCCGGGTGAGGTGGCGGGCGCCTGTAGTCCCAGCTACTCGGGAGGCTGAGGCAAAAGAATGGCGTAAACCCGGGAGGCAGAGCTTGCAGTGAGCTGAGATCCGGCCACT